TTGTCGATCCTCTCGTGTCGGGTCCACGCGAGCATGGCATCTGCGCCGGTGCCGATGCTCTCCCGGCGCTATTGCCTGTACTCAGGCGGAGAGCTGAGAGATGATGCGGACGTTGTGGCGTGAGTCGTTTCGACCCCGGCTAGCAGCCTAGCACGTGCTCAAGAAAAGCTGCCCGGGGTCTTAAGTCCGCACTAGTAGCACTACTACTCGGTATCTATGATAATGCTGTAGTTATTGCTTCCGTGAAGCATCCTGCCAGAAGGAGCTCCGAAGGGCTTGATCTTGAAGGACCTGCAGGCACCGGAGAACGAGTGTCTTGCCGCTTCCACCTTGCCGTTTCTTGGGTGTGCTGAGGGCCGGTGTGCCATTGTGGTTTAGCACTTGGTTGAACTTGAATGTGGAATGCACTATATACCTGTGGGCTCTTGAAACATCGAATCCGGAAGCCGAAGCGGAAGACTGTCGAATTTCGTAACTGGCAGGATTGGCTGTCACGTCTCGGTTTCAGCGGCGATCTGTGCTCGTCTCGCGAGGACAGGTTTCCTTGACTTACCTTTCCATCCTTGCGAGTGTGTCCGAAATCTCACATCAAAGCCACAACAGGAGTCTCTTGATGTAAAATGTGTGGGCATGTCTTCTATCAGGCATGATATTATGAAGGGGTTTCCTCAGTCTGAGTTGCAGACGGAAATCATCAGCAGATGAGCTGCAAGATAAGATTGCGCTCGTGGTCGATCTGACTGTTGCCGATGCAGCGCGACAGTTGTGCCGAGCTTGGGTTGCCAACGAGCCAAGTTTTCAATCACGCTTCAGCATCACGGCACGTCAGGGCCCAACTGTGAGTTCGTGCCGGGAGGAGCTTGAGTGCTGTGTAACGAGCATCTACAACATGGAGGAGGTCTGTCTGCTTCTTGGTCTGCTTTTGAGTGCAAACTGGGCCGTGCCACAGCAGGACGTATTCTTTCTGATGCTCCTACCTCAACGTCTGGCCGAGTTGAAGGAGCCGGCTTTGCTTGTGTTTTCGATAGTGTCAATAGTGGCCTTCCAAGAGAGACTAGATCAATGCCCTGGAGGCTCCGATACAGAAGGCTGTGAACCTGCGGAAGCCTGGATACAAGAATTGCTTTGCTGCTTTCTTGGAGCTGCACGAGGTTGAGTCATGGGATTGTCGTTCACTGGCTTGGAAGCTCATTAGAGTTGTGCATCTGCACTCTAGGGCACTCCGACCGTCTCCGAAGCCCTGTTTGCAGTCACTGAGAGCATGGCGACGCTGTGCACTCCCTGTCGCTCTCCCTGTTTAGACGTCGCAGTACAACAAGACCGGACAGATGATGTCACCGCATGTCACTAGCGTCGGTAGTATGTATACACATACCGCTACATACTTGTAGATGTACATGTACATGCTATCTGGTCCTATATAGTTTTATGTGCATGCTTTATGTACAAGCATATGCACATGCATGCCAGGTAATGTCATCCGGTAGCAGTGTGCGAGCTGGCTTCAGCGTGAGCTCGTTTCACCTGACCGTGCAGTATCCTAATCCACCACAACAGCCGGGTCACCAAGGGCCAAGGCCGACTTGTATTTGTCGATGATGTATGTGGAAGCTCCTGGGGGCCTCGAGGCCCGAGTTCTTTCAGAGCTTCCTGTTGAAGCAGTGCGGTGTGTCTTCCCTCTTGAGTTCGGTTGCGGCCTCAGGCGGAGGATTTCGACGCATCGGCATGGGCGGGATTTCTGTCCGACGTCCAGCCAAAGACAACGCTGAACATTCAAGGCTTTTGTTATTGTGCATAGTTGCAACTGTGATGACAGCTGGAATCTCACCAGAAGTCGACGAGTCGGCGAGTAGTCGAGGTTGTGATGGTGGCGCTGGTGTATAGAAGCAGCAATAGCAGCAGGAGCAGAAACAACAGCTATCGTAACTGTTGAACGGAACAAATCAGCGCAGGCTTGGGATGCACACTTTGCACTGCAGGCAAGTGGTCTGACCGCAAGATGCTGTCCTACCGGGACAGCAAGATGGAAGCTGTGGAGGTCACCGCGACAGACCTAGGCGGGGCCACGACAGTCAATACTTGATAAAACCTGCGCACTGACCTGCGCACACTGCGCGTGGACGTTGGATGCCCGTCGGACAATGCTGAATGTGTTTTCGGTACTCTTGGTTGAAGGCCAGCTGACAGATCGCTGGGACAAGCTGCTCTCTACAAGCCACGAGCACGACCTCAGCAGCTTGCTGAAGGACGATTGACGATTGACCATGAAGTGAAGCTTCATGCATTGAGCATCCAATCTGTCGGCATGTCGGTCACAGGATGCGCAGGATGAGGGTATCCTTGAGACTCTGCAGACGGCTCTGTCTTCTGTCTCTTCTGTCGTGCTCCAGCCCAGCAGCTTCGGAGTCAGCGTCTCTACACGCACCCCGGAGGATGTCTGAACAGACGTCTGCAACAAAGTCCCAGGTGCTCCTTTCGCCTGGCAATTGTGGGGAGTGCGATACACTGGACAAGGCCGTCAGGTCTGGGCACCTGAACTGCCTGCAGCTACTGGGCTGACGAATTCTTCATGTACCGTCACCGCCAGCTTTAACAGCTGTAGAACTTGCTTCTGGAAGCATTCCCAACGACCGCACGAACCCAGTTCAGGCACCTGCTGCAGAACGGAGCCACCACATCCACCGAAGCTGATCTTTCGCCGCTGCATCTAGCCGTCCTGAAAGCCGGGCAGCGCAAGGCCATTGGCTCCACACTTCTTGTGTCGGACTTTGGTAATGTTGTGCGCCTATCTGTACGGTGGTAGTACGGTGCCTATACGGAGGGTGTTTCATTCCTTGCATAATTCAGTATGATGTTGCGGGCTGCTGCACTTGCAACATCTCTTGTTTGTGCTTCTAAACTGTGCTCCATAAAAACCCGTCGTTACATCGGACTTCGCAACCGCCGTTCCATGTGTCGTCAGCGGCTGCTGCTAACATGAGCATTGAGCCTGACTGGACCTGGGTGCTGTTCCCAGGACGACAAGATCGCCAAGCTGTTGGATACTTTGCGGCACTGAATCCACTCGCGGCAGATAATTCAGACAAGCCTCAAGTCTTCAATGAAAAGACTGTATGGTCTGTCGACGTTCTCGACTGGAACTGTCTCAGGTTGCACATCACTGCGATCCGGCCCGGCAAAGTGCTACTTGCCGGCCCACGCAAACCCACGCTCATGAACCACTAATCCTGGCAAGCCTGAACGCCCATGGGGGCCCGATCCCATGGCACTCGTATGTGGACTTTCATCGAAGCTGACAGGCGAATGGTGTGACGCCGCTACACTTCGCAGCGGGTTATGGCAGAAGTTCGCTGGTTCAGGAGATGTTGCCCGGCGGAAGCATACTCACGGGCACAGTGTCAGGCCTAGAGGAAATCGGCCAGCAGAGTGAAAGTGTGGGCTGCAGGTTGCATCTGGTGGGCACAGGGACTGTGCTGCAAGACACCAAGCGAATCTATACACCCGCTGAGCTCCAAAGAATGGGCGCAGCAGCCGCTGGTCAGCACCTCTGTTTCAAGTCGTCACGGTGCACGAAGTTATGACCTTTTCGTCACGTGTGCTAACTAGTCCTGGTGATCACGAGATGAGGCAGATGTGCAGGATGAGAAGGGCAGAACGGCTCTCTTTCGAGCCTTGACTCATTCACATCTGGAGGTGGCGAGGTGGCTTCTTCAGCTGCGGGCAGATGCCAACATTTCAGACTCCAGCTCTACTAGCCCACTCCACATAGCTCTCCAAAGGCCCGGACAACCTGAACTGGCCGAGCTGCTGCTGGAGTCCCGTGCACAAGTCGATGCTTCCGATGGCCAGCAGCGCACGCCACTCCACCTGATTGCAGGTCTTCGGAAGCAGGGCGAGACGGCGAGGAAGCTGGCGGTGCTCGTTCTGGAGCGAGAGTGCCAGACAAATCCGCTATGCAGGCGGGAAGACCTAGACGGTTGGACCCCGGTCCATGAGGCGGCGCTGTCCGGAAATGTGGAGGTTTTGGAGCTCATGATCAAGAATTTGGGCGAAGTGGGTGGCGCCGAAGTCGACGCGCTCAAGCTGTCCCGTCCGCCGGACTTGTTGCATCTCGCCGCGATGGGCAAGAACCCTGCATGTGTGGAGGCGCTGCTGCACGCACGAGCCCGCCCCGACCAAAAATGCAGCATCACTTGGAACAGGGAGAAATTCCGGATTGCACACCACCACAACAAAATTGGGCTTGGGCTCATGTGCTCGGGAGTTCTGGCGATGCCCTTCGACCGCATCCCCTTCAATACAAAGGTCCCGCCACCCGAGTTCTCACGGAATGTCAGCACGTGCCTCCACCAGTTCAATTCCAACAAGAACAGGCGGGAGACCTGTGCCCTAAAGGCTGATCGACCACCTTGTAGGTCCTCACATTCTGTTGCACCTCCCTGCTGTTGGGTAAGCAATGCCAGCAAGTCACAGGCCCACCCACAGTAATGAGGTTCCTGACAGATCACGACTGACAGGTGCGAACTGAAGGTGCTCAACACGAAGGACCTAAGCGAGAGCTTCTGCGACATCATCTTCGATCAAGCGAAGCGCCTGGATCTAAGGCAGGGCCGCGTCGGTGCATGTTTGTCCCTCTCCTTCCCCTGCTCTGGGGAGACGTTTTGGAATTCCAGATTTCCAAAATCCAACAGTGGGAGGTGGGATTCGGAATTTGTACTTGGTTCAATACTCCTCCGATATCTAAGTAGTGTTCAGTGTTCGAGTTGTTGGCAAACATGTCTCTACATGAAATTTTCTTGGCATTGAATATCTACACAGTATTTTGCTCGTGCAGTTTTGGATTACTGACACTATCCTGATCTGTGAAGTCTGTCGTCTTAGGGTTATGGTCCATAAACCTGGCTTCAGAGGGGGGCGGGCAGCAACCATATACACATATACACATATTAAATATATGTATATACACATGTATGCTACATGTGTGTATATGTATATAATATAATATAATATAATATCACATAATGTAATATAATTTAATTTAATACAATCCAATATAATATAATATAATTGAATACAATATAATTTAACATAATATAATATAATATAATATAATATAACATAATATAATATGATATAATATAATATAATATATACCTACATCTATATCTATGTTTATATTTGTATCTATATCTATATCTATACCTATATCTGTATATACATAATATTATATATATGTATATTATATGTATGAATATATCTATGTATGTATATATAAATACCTATATCTATACCTATCTATCTGTCTGCCGGTCTATCTATGTATCTATGTATCTATGTATCTATCTAGCTATCTATCTATCTATCTATCTGTCTATCTATATATATAAGTTATCCATGCCTACATGTCAAAAAACACACACACACACCCGCACGCACACACACACACACACACCCACCCACACACGCACACACACACACAGACAGACACACACACACACAGAGACAGACAGACACACAGACAGACACGCACACACAGACACACACACACACAAACACAAACACACACACACACACACGCACGCGCACACACACGCACATATACATACAAACACACATATTTCTATATATACATACATA